AAAAGTAATTTTTGGATTATAGTGTTTAATTAAAGAAAAATTATAATTGTAGGTTATTTAAAAAAAATGCAAAATTTGAGAACCAAAGAAATTTTCGAAAATTTTTTTTCGTAAATTCGTTAGTTTATGAAAAAAACTTTTGGTTCTGACTTTTAATTCACCTTGTATAGATTCTTTTAATCTAGAAATTCTTAAATAAATCTATGGTAATGTAAGAGTATGGTTCCAAAGCTTTTTAATATTTTTTTCTAAGTAATAAAAAAAATTGTAACGCAAATTTCTATTTCAGTTTTATTGTGTTTTATATTCCTATTTTTCTGTTATTGCTTCATTTATTTATTACTCCATATTTTTATTTTTGGCACTATTTCTGAAGCAAAAAATGTAGAAAAAAAAGTGATAAATTTTTTGTGTTGTTTATACAGGGTGTTAAAAAAAGATTGTAAAATTTTTAAGGAGGTAATAGTGTGGACTAAAGTAAACAAAAAAGTCTTAATAAATATGTAACGGTTCCGAAAATATCGAATGTGAAAATTTTTAGAATTTTTAGTAGAAGATTGCAAATAAATGTTAAAAAACGAATAATTTTTTATATCTTCTAAACCGCTACTTTGCGGACTTTGTTTTGATCTATCCTAATACCTCCTAAAATATTTTACATTCTTTTTTAACACCCTGTATACATTTTTTACTTTAAAATTGTAAAGAAATGTTATTTCTTTTTTTAACTATTTCATTCTGATATTATATACAGCGTGTTGAAAAAGTGAAAAAATTGGGTAAGTCCAGGAAAGATGGACCACATTTTGAAAAACCTCCAGTAAAAATATGATCTTTATTTTAAACATTTTTTTGTTACGAGAGATTGAGCACTTCTAAGGCTCCCTCTGGTGTATCTCGCCCGGCTTTACCCTAGAACTAAATGTGCATATCTTCAATGTAAAAATAAAACTATAACAAATATTAAAAAGATAAGGACTTGTTTACATTGAACTTAAAAATGCATTATAATTATTTGCTATAAAAACAATAAAATAATCTATCAAAAATTCAAATTTTGGTTCTTACATTGAAAATATTTTTATATTATATAAAGGT